TCTATTTATTTTTGGAATACAACCGACGCGGGATTAATTATCGGTAACGAGAAAATGCGATTAATTACCAACAACAGTTTTTGGATGAACAACTGGAACGAAAATTCCGTTTCGTTCATAGAAAATTGAGCGCAAAAATTTCCCGAATCAACTTGAAATATCCATATATATCCATAACCGAATCGGTGAAAGCATCGTTTTACTAATATTTCATAAACTTCCCATGTTTTTTCTCGTGTTTTCGCTTTTGAAATAGCAAAAGCGGAAAAATTACTCGTTTCGATTATCTCGATCTTCAAAATTTTCGAAATCAAAAAACGATTAAATTTACTATAAAAATAATAACTCGAATTCGTGTTTTCGAATATTCGATCTTAGTATAATCGGTTTTCGATTAACTTTGGTTTAACGGTCCTACACTCTCGACTACACTCACTCTACGCTCCTGTACTACGCTCTCGTATACGCGAACAGGATGAATGCACGGATAGAAACTAGTCATGGAACACTACTCGGAAAGTTTAGGTTGGCGTTATGGTAGTATTTAACAATCCCGAAGTTAAAAGTTGGTTTGTCGTGACTCGTGACGAAGCAAACCGCGTCTTACGCAGCGCGCGCGCGTTCTGTTCATGACGTTAATTGTCAAAAAATTTTACCCGAGAATTTTCTCAATCGTTTATTCATTTTCTCCTTCGTCTTATCGTTCCTTAAAAATGATTTTTATCTTATGATCATAGTACAATATAGTCTAATATCTTGTTATTCGTTATATGCGCACCGAATAATTATTACATCGCGACTCGATCATTATTCGATCACACGCGTATATACGTACGTCGTTAGAGACTTTGATTCGTATCGTTCGTCAATTCTCATCCTTAGGCGATACGTTACACGATATAATCGAAAATATCGACTTACCTGTAAACGCTTTCGTCGTACGACAACAGGATTCTAACCGGTTGACTGATACTACGTTTTCTTACTTCATGTGCTGGTTCTATGTGAACACCGTGAATAACCTACAAAAATAAAGAATACGCATATGTATATTTATTATATATACCGTGAACATAACATATGAAACACGATCGCGCGTGATTAAAATGTTTTACCTGCGATTCTTTATTCCCATCGCATCGACGATACGTTTGTTTCGATATTGGTACAACTATAGCTGCGAAAATTTTGACGAATTTTGCTTCGATAACGATTTAATTCAAGATATATTCACGGTTGGTTATTATCATTACACGGGCGCGCATTGGTTACTCGATAAAGCGCACGCGATAAGAAGAGAAATTAGGAGAAGCGTCAAAGTTTGACAATTAAGAGAATAGTAGAGAATATGCGGTAGAGCGGTTGGCTCTAAGTTAGGATGGTATAAGACGCTGCATCCCGTTCCTCTTCACCTTGGACCTTCGATCTAACCTTCATGGTCCTGTGCCCCCTTGGGTAGTAAAGTTAATGCCTGTCCTATCCTCTCAAGATATCGCATTATCGTTAAGAAGCTTTCCGCGCAGGTCATAAACTCTCCGCGAGTATAAAACTAGATCGGATTAAAACTTAATGCGGATCCTCGCATAATTGCATTCCTAGCAAACTCCTTTCTCGTGACGATGAAACCAACCAACCCTGTTACGCGATATTTCATACATTGATGTATTGGCTCGCTTTAGGCTATCGGATTACGAGCGAAACAAGGAAAGCGGAAACGAGTAAGTATTTGCCTATTGGCACGTAAATGTTAAATTATTAAAAATATTTCTAACATACCGTGAATTTTCGCGTTAATTTAAAAAAAAAAAAAAAAAGAAAATAAAAATTTCCTCCTTTCGTTTCGCGTTAAGGTTTGGACACTTTTTTTAGTTTAATCGAAGAGACATCAAACTGGAATCACTTTTTTTTTCCATCCGCGGAATCTATCGGCGGATAGCTTCCAATACATACCTATCTATTGCGTGTTCGTTAACGAGAAAGAGCGAATGGATAATAAAGGGATCACTGGGAAACTGGACAGGTACTGAAAACTACACGATCTCCGTGGTAACCGACTAGTATTTTGGTTTATCTCGCGATATATAGCGCTATCTGGAATGAAACATCGTAGAAACTTTTGCGTGTTGTTTGAAAAATATTTACAAATTTTTACAATTATGCGAGCAAAAATTGTACGCATCATCCGTTTCTTCGTATCGGTTTTCACGTTATTTTATGCGAGATGTAAATGTCATGATTGTAGTAGTAAAAAAAAAAAAAAAAAGAAAAAGAAAACGAGCGACTATTCGAATACCTATGAAACGAACAAACTTCCGTTTTCATTTCGATATTCGTATATAAAGATAACGATGAATATTAATAGAACAATTTAATTAACTTTGATACGCGAGATAAGAAGAGATTCGAAGGATCGATTTTTCCGGCACAAGAGGTAAACGAAGGTGGCGAGGTAATGTTGCGGTGTTTCTATTCGAGCGGAACGGAAGATTGGCCCATGGAGTATACCGTAAGCGTGGAGGAAAGAGGAAGAACGGTAGACGATGGTCGCATCATCCCCATGCTGCGTCCTGCCACATACATGCCACTGCGCTAACGTTCAAGTGCATTTACCGTGTACACGATTCTAGCGGGCGATCAAAGCTTGTCTCCTCGGTCTCTCCTCCAGCTTTGTGCCACGCGTACGTGCCCGTGGAACAAACCTTGGACCCAAGTAGCGCACGGCAAACTCAACGTGCTACGTAATGCATACATACGAATACATTGCCAGAAACGAGGTAGGTACGATAGTTGCACGACTACGTATGCGCGTGTATATATATATATATATATATATATATATATATATATATATATATATATATATA